CGTATTATAACATTTTCCCAAATTCTCAGTATCAGTCTGAGAATTTAGTCCGTGTGTCTGCATTTTAATAAAAATCATCTCCGCAATCATCTTTTTATAAAATAGGCGTTCTTTATGTAAAATTTTTACACTATCCCATCTAAATTCATGGTCGCACTTAACACGATGCTCCTGGACAACAGAGAGCTGTGATGTAAGGTTCCTAGGTAAACGTTTATGCTCAGATACATGAGTAGAAAGCTTTCTGCTTGTTTGATCAATATAAGACGAGTCACAGTCATTGCACTCCAACTTGTTCACAACATTATTATGAAGATTCAGAGGTAATGTGTCTTTATGAACACGAACTAAATCTGAAAGTTTGTTCATAATACAGAAACTTTGAACATTATTAAATTTTTTAAAAATCTTACTGAGTCTATCAGAAATCATCCCCAAATATGGAAAGATGCTATATGAACGAATGGATAACAAAGAAGACGAAGATGCACTCGGTACAATGGTATTCATTCTGTCAATCAGTCGAAACACACGTCTCCTACAGACTTTAAGAATAATTTCAAGTAGTTATGTATTAGTTATACAGGGTGTCTGATAATTGTAACACACCAACTCCATAGGAGCGTAGAGTTAAGCGAGAGGATCAGAAAAATCCTCTTTCATTTAGCGATAACGCGTCAAGTTTGTTAGTTACAATCGCGTAAAGTTTGGCATTTGTTACGCCCATCGCAGCCTATAGACGCTCCGCGGCGAGCTGTGTGCGTCGAGGCTGAGCGGTAACGCGGCTCGCGCTGAACGTTGCGAAGGCGTCTTGACCTTTGACTATATAACCATGGACCGCATGGCGATTCTAAGCGTCTGTCAACATCTGTAGCGCCGTTAGGACCAAACAACGGCAAAAGAAGGAACTTAGTAGAGCAAAGCAGAGTTAGCAACGCTTCTAATATCCGCGTATCACATGGTGATACGTATTCGAAAGACCTAATAGTATAATATAAGTAATAAAAAGAATCAGACTTTCTTGAAAACCACAAATACTTTATAACAAAATTAATTATAGAAA